GATAGCCAGGCAAATCACACTTTCATAAGGTGAGTTTGGCAAAGGTAGTCTCCACGTCTCTCTTATAACAGGTTTCCTATTGTGGGTTAGCAAATGCTTTGCAAATGCCAGTGATTTGCTTCAAGGTGTTTCAGGTCAATCATATGAATATTAGATTTCACTATGCAGAAGCGTCCACATAAGGTTGGTTTGTATTTATCTTACACATGATATGTTAGTTAATTTTTACAATTAATGCTTTGATATTCAGTAATGATTCTAAGGCAATAACATGGCGTTCCTGAACTAAATATTTGCTGAAAACACAAACTGCAGCTAAAAACTGCTATATTTTTAATAAACCCCCTTTTTGATACGGTAGTGAGAGAGAGATAATAGCTGTCTGAACATGTTCAAATTTCAATTGAAACAATACCAAGTCACAAAATAGGCTCTCTCACATGCTTGCTTGGAACTGGTGTGTTTCTTGCACTGTAGGAAACAAACTACCAACACAGGATGATCTAATGGGCTAGACAAAAAGACATCTTACAGCTCATTGAACTGAATGAACTAATGCAATGGAATGAGCCACAATGTTCCCTCTGACTGAGCAGGCTAACACATCTATGGCTGTGAGGCTGCAGCTAGCATCTCCTACATGAAAACACCAGCCAGGAGCCCTGGCCAGTCTGAGTACCCAGAGAGGTCGTTGTCTCCAGGTTTCTGTACAAACACATGGATACCACAGCATGCTAGAAACACTAATTAGACTCTGTTGAGATGACTGCCCTGCAATGAAGTTATGACTAGTAACACATTCCTTTTTAGAGTTCTATATAGTGAGAAGCTTGAGGTGGAAAGCATTGATGTGAGATCAGTGTGTGCTACTGACCCTACTGAGTAGCCATTTCTAAATCTAGCTTCTTCCTAGAGTCTGTACAACTGTCCATCTGGAAAAGTTGAAGTGGATGTAATGTAAGACCTATTGCTGGTCCCGAACTCCACTTTTGTTTCTTAAAGCAGACAGATAAAGAGATATACAGCTAACGGAAATAAGCACCTAAGACCCTCCTATGTAAAATGCCATTCACTAAGATAACCTCTTATCCATTCGGACGGGCTTATTAGTACCATTTAATTTCAGGCACGGTAAAATCTACACTGGTGTTGTGTCAATAAAAATGTAATAACTTTACCATAATGGGCTTAGTATTCTTGTTTCCCAATGAAGAAAATTCATTTTCAAACCATTCAACACCCAAAAATTACCGCTGTTTACTCAGCATATACAAACTGCTCAGTGGAAGCTGATCAGTATTCTGTAGGCGATAAAGTACTAAGACAGATGATACCACAACACTCTCAATAAAGAACAATGAGGAAGTGGCTGAATATTCTCTATTCATCTACTTTCTTTTTCCTGATGTCCAAAAATTTGAAACAAAAACCATTTGCCATTCCAGTGTACAAAAGTGCTCATGTCGCATAGTTACCCTCAGAGTATGATGTATTTCCAACACCTGACCAGGACAAGAACATTTTTCTAAGATAACTGGTAATGTAACACATACACAGGTCTGATAGAAAGATAGAATTTTAGTATTGATTAAAAAAGTTATCTGGAGATGCGTATTGTTTTAAAACAAACCTGCAGTGAACAATTTAATTTAGTTACAACTACAATTAATGGATTATACCTCCAAAAATGAAGTCAACATTATCATGTGGTAATGATCCCTCTGCAAACATTGGAATGTGATTTGATGTAGAAATAATGATCGCATGTAAAAAGTACTTGTGGTTCATAGACATGGCATCAGTAGTAATATATGAATATCTATGGCCAATAGTCTTTTATAGTGTAATGTATTGATTGTGTTTCTCAAATCTTCAGCATCAACGTTACCCTGAACAGTCACTGAGTATAGTAATGTTTAATACAGCACAATACAGCACAAATTTTCAAAAGAACTTAGCTACTGAGGTAATACTCAGTGAAACAATAATTACTAACTGTAGAGTAAGTTATTTATGGTTCTTTAAACATGTGATGGTTTAAACTAGTCTCAGAATGTGGAGCTTTCCAGTCTCCAAATGATGCAAGGGATGAATGATCAAAGAGTCTCCTGTATGTTTTCATGTTATTCCAGAAAAGGTGTAAGCTAACAAAATCAGAAGCTGCAGTAATAAGCTTGAATGAACTGGCTGAGATATGTTGCAACTTTTTGGGGGAGTATCTGCTGTAGGATCTCATTCCACAACTTTTCAAGCTCAATATTTCTGTGTAAAAGCTGTATAACAACACAACTATCATGAACTGCACTTTCCCATAGCTATCATCAATAGCTTTTACACCTTTTCATATGGCTTTTCCATGATGACCAGTTTACAAAAAGTAATGTGAGAGATGCCCATGGATCTCTTTGCCATTTCATCCATTGGCAATTATTTGCCGCATTAGAGATGTGCACACAGTAAACTCTAGATACCAGACACCTCAATACTTCATTTCACTGCAGACTGTAACATTCAAATTGTAAAACACTGACATATCAGTTCCCAATCCTACACTATTGATTGGCCATTCAAATATTGTCTTGATGCATGCAATAGAATTGGTTTAGAATTATATAAGCCTTTTTTGTACTTCCAATTACAAAGTAAGGAGCACCACAATTCGGAATGATGTAGCATTTATTTCTTGCTACACAACCACTTCTTCCACATGCTAGTATGTGCCTGATAAAAACAGTTCTGCTTTTCTATATTCAACAAAACCATCCCCTCAATCTCAGAGCTTTTTGGCATTAAGCCTGTGATGCCTGGAGTAGTCTTGTGGTCAAATGAACAGCTTCTGACTCATCCACACACTTTAACTGAAATCAAATATGGTACATGCATCTCTGTTGTTCATATCTCTTGGAAATCTTTACCATCTTTGCTGTCTCTCCTCTTCTGTCTCTCAGCTTCTTTAATTCTTTCATAAAATCCCTTTGCTACTCTAATGTTGGCTTACTTTGGAAGAACCAGCCCACCTAATTTTGGTGTTTTAATTATATGTGCATTTTGGTGGGCCTATCACTTATAGGTATCATATACCTCCTTGGGACTCCAGATCTGGGATCTGTTTTTGGCTCAGCACCGTCCATTTCATCCTTCTGCACCAAAGGTGAGTCTCCCAATGCCTGTTCCATTCTCAATATTGTAAAATTAATTTAAAAAAATTCCAAAGGGGACCTCTATATTAAGCATTGGAATGTGGGCTGCCTTGGGAACTTCAGACATTCCACCAAATAAATATCTAAGAGGTATAATAAGCCAGTGGGTATAAAACACTTTTTTGAATTACCTTTTACAACTATCATGATTAGCCCAGTCTTTCCCTGACATAAGTTTACATGTCACAATAACAGAAGCAATCTATATCACACACCATTAACCAATCAAAGAATGCCTCAATGATTATGAAACTCATTTCCAGTTTCCAGATGCCAGCTGCCTTTCCATAGGAATTCACTCCATTTGAGCCTATGTTCACTCAGGCTTATTCAGGGAACTTTAACAAATAGCAATATACTCTGAATCCAATTAAGAACCTGAAGTGAACAAAGTAAAGGGGTGAAAAGTACTCCTTTAGTAAATCAGCCCCATAAAGTTTGAATTTGAAAATAATGAGGAAATACAGTGCAATACATTTGTTCAGTCTTGGCAAACTATGACAAGAAATACTAACAAACATTAACTATCATTCAGATTCTTTAATACCCAAATAGTAGTTGATGTAGAAATCATAGCCATTAACCCTAATTACAATTCCATGTATCCTTCCAAGTAGTAACAAGAGCATCAATGAAAATGGCACCAACAAAACTCCACAAAATCAAAAAAAACATATAGTCAGCCACATGGAGCTAGTACACACTATGAAACCATAAAGTAATTCTGTTACTGATACTTTAAAAAAGCTCTTAGATTCCTGTCTGGACCTTGATCACAATTTAATTCTTGAAACGTGCCCCAATTTTTCAATGTTGCACAACTACATGAAAATATGACATACAAATACTGTTATATATTACACATTTGTGACTGTAATCAAACACCATCTTGTGATATAAATTATATGATATTAGTTAAGCTGAGAGCATTATATGGTAAAATGAGATGATGCTTCGTATTTAGAACATCGTCATGCCAGCTTCTAATTTGAGAATATTTTAAGTTTCAAAACAGATGTATTCAACCTGTATATCCCTAAATGTTACAGGACTGCTAGGTCCTGGCTGTTTAAAAGCCAGAGTAAAGTTAACTTGGATATAGGTAGTTCTTCAAGGATTAACCAGCCATTTAAACCAAGAAAGCCTATTGATACATAGCCATTGTTTGTTGTCCCCTGGCTATTGATGGTATACTGAGATATGTAGTTCTGAAACAACTTGTGGACCTACTCTGCTCTTATTACATTTACAATCTCAAACCTTCATCTTCTACATCACCCCACTTAAGGGGTCTTAGAATACCTGATCTGCCTTTTCTGACAATTGTTCTAAATTCAAACTTTCTAAATTTCCCTATTTGTTATTTAACAGAAAGCAATCTGATGGATCTAAAAACATCATTTGTAATGAACAGGCCATGTAGGCATTGTCAACCTCCTCTTTTGGCCACCAGGTCTCTTGGTCAGCTGGATGGGAACAAGTCCTTGGTGGGCCCTCTGGTTAAAAAATTCAAGTGAGTTCGGTCAGGTATTTCACAAGCCATCATTTTCGCTGGTGCATGCAAACCCTCCTTGGCCAATCTTAGCTGATAAAGTAAGGGAGGCAAATAATGATGGGTTAGAGTCTGTTCCTGGTCACCCAAATTCACACACTGGTCCTACAGTTGAAGTGAAAATTTGAAATTGCAGTTGTCCCTATTTGTTCCATATAGTTCTAAGACAGCCAGCCGCAAAAGGGGAAGCAGTAGAGTTCAAATCTATAAAAAGGTGACAGATGAGATGGAGAGCGCATTGTACCTACCTGTTAGCATCAGGCATCCAAACAGCAGACACAGCATGGCCACGGTGACACAGCTTAACATGTCTGAGCAATCCTATCTCTGCCCCAGATCCCACAACTATCAGGTAAGTAGCTGCTAAAACACGAGCAACAATAAATAGAGCGTTGTGAGTTTCCAGTAATTAGCGCAGTGCCTCCTCTGTGGTCCTCAGACTGATGTAAGCATATCCTGTACTAGAGCAACTTTCCAGCAGCAGCACTATGTACGGTCCTGTCTCTTCACCAGCCTCCTGCTGAATGCCTTCAGCACAGCAGTGTGTCCTTAGCTGCAGAGTGGGATGGAATATCCTGAAGGATAGGGACACAGTGCTGAAACCACTGGGACATATCCATTCATTGTGCAAAGGCAAATTCTCACACCCCTGATATAACCACATGTAACTGATGGCATGTGTAGCCACCTCCCTGGCTGTGACATCACCAATATAAAAGGACAGTTCTCCCTCTGTGTCACCCAGCACATACAGACCCGAAGTGGTCACATCTTCCTAGCTAAGTCAGTCCTCCCTACAGATGTGGCTTAGCTATAACAGTCCGCATACTGAGCAGAACTAAACAGAACTTGTATAAAGTGTCCATGCAGGCACACATATCTGAATTTAACATGATACAACTGCATTCTACCTTTGTATCAACTTTCCCACTGTTATTATTGTTTGTGATGGCCAATAGAACACAGATGTTGGCTTTGGCAGTAACAATGTAAACCACGTTATATAAAAACAAGATGGTAAATGAAAGTGTTTATGAGTTGTTTGCATAAACAAGAACTGTAGTGTTTTGGAGCCTCTGTACAGAAATTACATATACAGGTTTGTACATTCCAAAGCCTTATTAAATACTGTAATATAATATATATACTGCAATCTCTTTACTATCATGATGTCAATAAATGTATAATAAATGTGATGCATATTTTCATCTAGTATAAAAAAAGGTTACTATAGTATGTGGATTAAACATCATTTTATAAAACAAACAGATTGATGACATATTACATTTCACTATCATCTGCTTGTATTATTTATCATTCTAATACTAATATACAAAAAACAGATGGATTTGTGCATGTGTGCGTAGATTGGGGAATCACTACATGTCCAAACACTCTTTTGTTTGTGCAGAACCAATGTCAAATAAACCTGTTAGACATAGTGAGATATATAGGATGTTGATGGTATATAGAAATCTCAGCTTTTTGTGTAAAGTTCAGCTTGAAATTGTCTTTCTCACCTCCCTAGTGAACCTTTACTGTGATTGGTGATTACGGCTCCCTTATGTCAGATAAGTCGGAATTTTGTCGGCACCCTGCCGCCCAGCATCCCTCAATCAGTTGATCAAAGGGGTATAGGTTGGAAAATTCTTGACCGAACGGAGCTCAGCAGCTGTTTGGGTATTCTGACAGCAGTCACTGTCAGAATACAATGCAAACAGTGGGGGATTCGTCGATCAATGCTCGTGTTGATGGAGGGATCTGTTCTAATTTTTTTTTTTTTCAGTCTGCGGATTGAACAAAAAAAATTTGGAACGTGTAAACCCGCTTTAGTAAGCAGGTTCAGAAAAAAGAGGGGCAGGGAGAAACTTGACTTTTATGAACGGTCAAGATTTGCATATGACTTTAGCTCTGGATCTTCGTTCAATGCTCAGTCTACATTTCCCAGGTTTGTGCCAAGTTTACTTTAAAGCGCAGTAGGACATTTTCAATGAGTCTGTTAAGAGTTTATATTACTGTTACAATGTGATAAAAAAATGCATCCATTTTGTAAAACTATCACACAACAATGTGCATGAGTGTCAACTTCTGTGCAACCTCTTGCAAAGCTGTCTGAGATGTAAAACAGTAACTTATTTTCCACTGCTGATTACTAGGTCAATGAAAGGAAGTATACATAATAATTTAGCATATTGATTTTGCCTCTCTGTATGAAGGGGAACTCCCTCTAAAACATGCTTTATTTCACACACTAAAGAGGAACTGAACTCTGGCAGCATCCACAAAAGGTCAGGCAAAGTGCAAAGGAATAGGATTGACCGTCGTCTCCCTGCAGCTGATCTTTCTCTATTATTGATTACTATACTTGTTTTGTGCTGTGTCTCTGTATGGATGTGGCCATCTTGTTAGAAGGAGGGCTTTGCTTCATGGTTTTGCTCCAGCAAAGAGAACAATGGGTAGCACAGTTGTAGCGTCATGAAATCTCACGATAGTCAGAGGCAGCAGTGCCTTAGCTCTCACACTGTAGGTATACAGCTATGAAGCTATGAGGCTGTGGGCACAGGACTGCCTAGCTACCTTCAAATGCCACTGATATTATTAAGAAGGAATTCCAGAAAACAAGTAAATTTTCAGGGTACTGCTTAGGCACAATGAATATTTCTAGATATTCCCTACAATAAAGCAAATCTTACCTTTTTGTGTTCAGGCCCATTTTAAACAACACAAAAGTACTGCTGGTTCACATCTGCGTGCTGCTTCTTGGTAGCTTTTAAAGTGTATTTACAGCCAAAATATATATTTTTTTTCTTCAGTTTTGCTGTCTGTGTCCAGTTCAGAGGATTTTCTTTCACATCCTGTCCTGGAAATGCAAGAGGAAGTGAGAGGAATATAATTAAGAGGATTCCTACTTAGATAGTTGTCACCGGGACAAGTATACCCATTGGAACAATTACTGTCACGTCTTGTTCTGGTGACAACTGTAAAAATTTACATTTCCCATCACTAACACCCCATTCACACTGAGAGATTTATTCCCGCAATATCGCTCTATGTATTTCCTCGCAATATCGCTCCATGTAGCTTGTCCAATGCATTTCAATGGAGCTGTTCACAGCTCAATGTTGCCTATAGCTTGTCGCTCGTTCATGACCCTTTTTTGCATGGATGTCGCGCGATTCGGCTCCAATAGACTATATAGTGTTGTGCAAAATCGCGCATTAACGGATATATTGCGCGACTTTATCGCACGATATCGCGCTACGGCCCAATGTAGCAGCGACGAAGTCCCGCCAAAAAAACGCCCCCAAAAAAATGTAAAATGTGCACTGTCGCTCAATATTGCAAAATGTAGCTCAAAGCCGTTCAGCGTGAAATCGCGCGGAAAAACGTGCAATATCCATGTTGCTCAGTGTGAATGGGGTGTTAGTCTCGGTGACAACGATCGCCAGAACAAACAAGAGGTTGAATCTTCCTAACAGGGGAATTCTAGGCATGTGCTTTCTTAAAAAAAAAGTTTTAGGGAAGTCTGGTTTAAAGAACACTTGAACATCCTTTCACGTAAAGGCTGACCGTATGCTGTTAGAATTTTGCTGATTGACAGGCAAAACTATTACAGTGTGTAGCCTTTCCGGCTCGCCAGAAGTCCATAACTCAATCGACCTTTGTGGAAGGAGCCAGGCTGAAAATCTTTGGCTGAACAGTGACTGTAGGTTTATCAGATGCAGCCGCTGTTCATGTATTCTGGCAGTGACAGGCACTCGCTGTTAGAATGCAATAGCTGTAGTGGGAACATTTTTTTCGAGCAGTCTGCAGGCGGACAGTTTTCTAATGGCAACCAATCAGCTTCTCTCTTCAGTTTGTTCAGTTAAGCTTTAAAAATAAAAGACATAAGCTAATTGGTTGCCATGGACAACTGCGCCAGATTCTGTCCTCTCCAGTTTTTATGGATTCCCCCAATGTATGCGTCACTGGTTGCCACGGGCTGAGCGTGAAGCTCTAGCCTGCAGAACTCCCACCGGTTAATGTGTACCGCCAGCATTCCCGCCTCCTCAGGCAGCAAAATGCCTAGGGGGTCACCCTGCATTCAAGAGAGGAGCTGATCCACCCAATTTCATAAGTTTCAGCTAGGTTAGTCATGTCTATGGATAGCAGAAACCACAACCAATCATTCTTGGGGAACAAGGAGAAAGTCAGCTGAGATGAATCACTGTTGTTTTAGTAGAGATATGTGTAATTAGTGTAAGTTTCCTCTGTAGGTGGAAAAAATATATATATATATAACATTTTATTTATCTAGTAAAGTAAATAACCTTCACCATAAATGTCAATGTCACTTACAATTGTTCACTTCTTCCATTCATTTTAATTATACATACTATATGTTACCATATACTTTGTATGTATGATTAAAACGTTTGAAGAACTCCCAAGATGCACTGCCTCTCATCTGAGGTTTAGTCACAGCCAGGTTAGGGCAATTCCTGCATACATTGGGGGGAATCCATAAAAACGGGAGAAGACAGAATCTGGCGCAGTTGCCCATGGCAAGCAAGTAGCTTCTGTCTTTTATTTTTAAAGCTTAACTGAACAAACTGAAGAGAGAAGCTGATTGGTTGCCATTAGAAAACTGTCTGCTCCAGTTTCTATGAATTCCCCCATTATGTCTATCAGCATAGCAGCGTGTTGTGTCCACAGGACACAACACGCCCAGGACTATAAATAAAGTTTAAAGACATGGGCGATGTCACATAAACAATAGTGAGAATGGAGGAAAAAAAGGTTATCAAGTGCAATGGAGATACTGCAGAATACTCAGCCATCTAATATCTGTGGCCATTGCTAGAATTAAGATGCACATTAGCACCGATTAGTCAGTAAGTATCATACTGAAGCAATGAGGCGTGAATGACCTGGGTGACCTCGCCTCGCCTTGCAGTGCCCGGCTTAGCAGGAAAAGGGTTAATGACATAGGAACTTAGAGTCAGCATCCAATTTCCATTCATTGCTTGGTGACCATAGGAGTAGGACAATAGCTAATAAACGTACATATATATCCCAGAGCCCCACCAAACTCTCTGCAGCCATTTATTTTTAGAGCCTGCTGATCGCTGCTTTTACTACCCCACAGGGCCCCGGGCAAGAGTAATTCTGAAGGTCTTTAAGTCTCGGTTTCCCGGTGTGTATTAGTAATAAAACGGGAAGAGCACGATCCAAGTTAATTTCTAGCTCAGAAAGGAAACGCTGTTTCCTGTATTGTACAAATCTGGTGCCAACAAGACGGACACAGAGCTCCATTGTCCTGCTAACAATTCCATGGTGGGGAGAGAGCCTTGAGAAAATCCACCTTCCTTCAGCTCAGGCTTTTGATGTCCAGATAGAGGGTGACATGTATGATACCTTCTTGTGTGACACGAAATACGCCAGCGCTAGCAATAGGAGGAGGAGAGACCCCCAGGGCTCAGCTAAGTCTTATCGGCTTAACATATGAGACCATTCATACACAATGCAGGGGGTAAGAGGATAACCCTTCTTGTGCCGAGTTCATTCATCTAAAATTCCACCCCTCTCGTTGTCTCTGGTTCATCTCTATTCATTTTGGGTCTTTGAC